ATGTTACGTTTACTAAGGAATCATAGCTTGATATCCACGATTGTTTGCCATAATCAAGAAGTTTATTTATACCTTGATTCTTTGTTGTAAACAGGAAAATCTGTCATAAAATTGGTCATTATTTCAATTTAAATCACGCTTTTAAGAGATCGTGTGTAATATAATTGTTGGATTTCTTTCGTTTTGAAATCAATTTGAAGAATATTGTCTTAAAATCATACGTGATTCATTACCTCCAGTTAAATCAAACCTTAAACTAGGAGTTTCTTCAAATATCGAGTTAGTTGCTTACAGATGTTTAATTTCAAATATTTATTCTACTTTATTGCGGATTTTGCGACTTCGTTTTATTTGATGATTTTGAAATAAAGAAATGAGGAAATAAACGATGAGAAAATATTATTTAGGGAAAACGTAAAATAAACCACCAGTCAAAACCCCACACCTCAAAATGTTATAGAGAGGACAAAACCCCACACCTAAATTTCACAGAGTGGACAAAACCCCGACTCTTTAATAATTGGACAAGGTTTGTTGATTAATAATAGTACATGGGCATTGATTTTCAGGAATTAATTCTTCTCTTTAGAATTTGCTAAAGTATTACTTCCCCATAAAAGAAGAGTTACTTTATTCATATTAATATTAAATGAATTATGATAAGTTATTCCTACATGAAATTACGTCAACAGTTTATAAATTGCTCTTTGCTCGTAAGCGCTTGTATTTTTTTCAATATAAATGTGCTAACATAGATGGTGATATTATATTTAGATAGTGTGTAAAAGGTTATTTATAATTATATATGACTAATAAGAACATTTTATTCAATATGCATCATATAACCTTGAACTGAATAAAAATCCCTACTGTCAGGTAACTACTTAATCTGTAAGAAGTGTAATTTATATCATTACAAGGCGTTTTCACTATATGTACCAAAGATATTGTGACAATTTAATTTTATGATATCTGATACTAGTACGTGTCAAGTTTTTTTTCTACCATTAAGTTCTATGTTTACACATTTTGTTCTCTGTACTAGCTTAGTTTTTTCCCACTATTTGTGTCCTTTTAACAATTTTCTAATTCTTTAGCTTTTAATCTGAAAGCTTGCTGCTTCAACATTATTCAAGTATGCAATATACTTTGAAGAGGCAATACATACATTTCATTATGAAAACAGCAATATAGGATTTAATCGGTTAAATATATTAATGCATACTATCTCAATTTAAAAGCAAGTGTTTACAATGTTTACCTTTCCATTGAGATAACAATTATCTGACGATAAACCTGATAATATATAATACATTTTCATATGTTTTTCTAGTAACACCGCCTGAGTTATGTAAATTGATTAGATCAAATTAATTGAAGCAAGATAAAATTGCCATCTGTTTAGAATGTTCTTATTTAAACAGGGTGCCGTAAAGATACACTTTGACTTTTTGATTTCTAACATCACGATTTTTAAAGTTTCTAACTATGTGATATAAGCCAGACATATTTATAAACAAGTGATGCCGTGATAATAAAGATATAGATAAATGATATCTTTTAATTCATTTGCTTACTTCGTAGGTCCGGAAGGAGGGTTTTCTTCAAACTAGTTAAATATGACTTAAACAACCTTTATATTTAACGATTTAAGCTATGGTCATGCCCTCTATCATTCCATATTTAGCGGTTTAACATATGGTCAGCCCTCTATCGAGCGACCACCATCACAGGCAGTGATCTAGAGGTAGAACACTAATTTCAGAAGTAAAAGGTCCGAAAGTTCAAGGTTTAGTAAATGTTCGTTTTATTTACTTATATTAAATGGTTCTTTATGGCCCATTATATCCAAGACATATTTTTATTTCCTAACAGCTTTAAGGTTTTGGTTTCTGGTTATAATAACCAAAAAGTCAAACATTACTTATTATCTCAGTAATCTGTTGCCTCAGCTGCATTTTGGCAGTTAGTATTTTTGTTGAAGTCAAAAACTACTTTCGTTACATAGTTTCCTTCTTTAATGACAAAAGATTATCGGTCAACCTAAATTCCGTCTATATTAAAGTCATTAAATATACTCTAAAACCAGTTTGAGAACGCCATGGAACCCATGGGTGCTGTTTCTAAAGGTGGTAAGAATTTTGTTCATTTCTATTCTTAGTTATATTATTAAGTAAATATATGCAAATGAAAGAAAAAAAAAACATGCACTTGTTGCAAAAATAGAAAACATGTACAGTACGCTCAGCGCAACTTTTTCAAAACCCGCGTGACCCCGCGGATGAGGTTTACCGCGGACGAAAATTTGCTCAGATATTGTCCTTTAAACCTTAAATGTTAATTACTGTATATAATCATAAGTATACGTACGTACATGTACTGTAACATGTACTGTACATATACATGTAACTATATGTAAAATTTGTTTGTTTTCTTTCTTTTTTGTTGCAATAAAAGTACATGTACAAATGCAGTGTTTTTCTTGTTCTTCTTCTTGTTATTGTGTTGGGCAATGTATAATATGTATTCGACATCAAGATAAATCATTGTCGTCGCAACGTCATGGTAGTGAGAAACTTGAAGTCAAATAATGAAAAATTTGGCATATGACATTTATGAAAAAGATACTACAACAATTTATATGCCAGCTTTTGTTTCTTATTTAAAAACTTTGAAAACGTAACCCTCAACAATTTTATTCAGGCAATATTCCAGGACGTCTCTTTCAATTGTCAGATGCGTTTTACTGTTTCTGTTTATTTGCATGTTGATCATAAAGTCTTATATTTTATTTGGAACATTAAAAGAAAGCGTTTATTTCACAAAAAATATACATTAAATGATATTTTGATTTATCTAATTACAGGTGTGAGCGTAATGTATATGTTTTGAAGTTTGTATCAACTGTTGAAGTTTTTTTTCATTTTTGTTTTAGTAGTTTGTTTGCTTGTTCTTTTTTATTTTTTTATAGATTTTTTTGCAGAATTTTGTTAACATTGACGTTATACTTTTGTTATTTTATTATGAACAGTATGCATGTACATACATGTATTTAAGGCTGTATATACTGAAAAAAAACACCAGCAAACAAGTCTACCCGTTTTTTAAAGAATATAATTGCATACAAATAAAATCTTATAGATGGTTGTTATCTTTTTTTTTTATTTCTAATATATGTACATGTATTTTATTTATGTCCTGTCTTGTATTCACACTCATTGACCTCTTACAGACATGTACTGTAGCGTCAGTCATCATTGAGAAATCAGCACAAATGTCCTTTTTTTACTAAGTATCATATTTATGGCTCCCATATTGTTTAACATCAATACTACTTATAGAACCACAAGGAATGAACAAGTAAAGATGACAGTGATAAATGACGATTTCAGTTCTTAAAATATTGGTATGTGGACGAATAGTTTTGTGGACGTTTATAACAAAAATATCAAAAACAACAACAAAAACAGGTACAGCTGTAATTATTTTTATTTCAAATTCCGTTCAAATAATTTAACGTATAATAACATTTAAGGAGACGATTGTGGTCAATTTTCAAGTCATTGTGTAAAAAAGATGACGTTAAAAAATAATAAAACGTCTATTATTTTTGGACGTTAATTTATACTGACCAACTGACCATGGCGTTCCCCCGCGGGAAACGGGTGACTGATTTTATCGATAAATGAAGAACGGTCGTCAGAATTTTGTCCGCGGTGGAAACAACTGAACACGGGGATCGCGGGGAAATTAGGCTTCTCATCGCGGACGAACCCCCGCGTTTGTCCGCGATAAAAATAAATCGTCCGCGGTGGTATCGCGGAAAAAGCAAAACCCGCGGTGAGCGTACTGTAAATGACTGCCATTTTGATGCAAATTAGTCAATCATTACATTGTTCTATTAATGTAAACATTATACACAGCTTTAAAAAGAAAATAAAAGGTTCAAGAATAATTACGTACTTGCCCACTATTTATTAAAGTTTGCATATCACGATGGATATTAACGCACTAACGTTTGCGACTGGCTAAATTTTCACAGCTGTTCTGAATTTTCCTAGATAAAATTACCGCTTTAATTCAGAAAATATTAATTGAATACTCGTACTACTTGAAAATCTAAGCCTTATTATCTTATTGAAATAACAACATACGGATAATTAGTGAAGATCACATTTAGTGGACAGATGTTCACTGTTTTCTATAATAGAAGGTCCGACGGAGGGTTTGCAATAAGCTAAGTTTATTGCAAAAATGTTTGTAAATGTTTTATCTGTGCTTCGCTAGTTGCAATGCTTTTTTTAGAAACCAGCAATGGCAATTCTTCAAAAATGTATTTATAGTACAGATTCAAATAAATCAAACTTGAAAGAATGATAGAAATGTTTCTTTGATATCGACATTAACTGTAAAAATATCAAAAACATAATTTATTTTTGAAACAACTCACAGGAAAAGAAATCAGATACTTAAGCAACTGAGTCGTAAAGACTCAACCACAAGTTTTAAGTTTGTTTTATACTAATGTGTAACAATAGACGTATGTCATACTAATCGTTTAAACACGTACAATAAATATAATAAGAGAAATGGTCTATTATAGCAAAGCATCCGTTATTATAATATAAAACAAAAGAGATCGCATTATCAACTCAGAAGTAATTGATTTTAAACGAATCACGCCTTTAAGATAAAAAAAAAAAATTTTGTATGTTGCTCTTGAACCTGCTCTTACTGTATGAGTACTGTATGACTCAAGTTATGAAATTTTGTTCCTCTTCAGAATGGCTTTTTGATATAATAAAATGCATTATGCGGTTTCCTTGCAATTGTGCTTAAACACAATTATCATAAACATGTACGGGCCTCATTTTCAAACACACACGTTTTATTTGAATAAATACAACATTTGCTCTAACATTGTTCAATTAAGATTTTATGTTACATCTGTCCCAATGAAAAAATGAGGTTCTCACTATTATTTTCGTTTGTTATTGTAGTTGGATTATGCAGTTATAAGTTTTCTGAGGCTAGAGAGCCAGTATGTTCTAAATTTGCATATGAAGAACAACTTTTAGAGAAAATGATAAGAACTGAAATTAAGGTTGAAACAATGGTAAATGAAATTAAGAAAACTGAGGAAAATGTCATCAGTACATTAGGCGACATTAAACAAACAGTTACGGACATGTTTGCAGACATTAAGGGGAACATAACGGACGAGATGTTAAAGAGAAGTGATGAGATAGAAAGGAGAGAAGGTAAAATATAAACATCAAATCTACATGGTTAGAAAATGATTTATGTACACTGAAATATTACTGATGCATTGCGAAAGATGAATTATATCTTTAGCATTATCATATCTGATTGTTGATTAAGTCTGAATCAATATTATTTAATAGTTCGTAATGCTTTATGAAAACCAAATTCAGAAAATCGGCAAATAAATATGATAAATGCGTGGAACATTTAATATTCAAAGATTCATAAGCTTTAAAAAGAAGACATTTCATACACCGGTTACAATGCTGACATATCTAACTAAAATTTCTATGTTGATAATTGGTAGATTATGGAATAACTTTTATTGCTGCAAAAATATTTTCAGTTTGCTTAACCCGTCTCGTTACATGACAATACAACTTGTTTGTTGATGCGTATCCCAGAGAGGTTTATTGAATATTGATACGATTAACTGAAAATACATACATAAATGTTATACAATACAAAGATATTATTATCATTTGACTAGATTTACAAAATTATAAGAAGATAAGACTATAAGTTAGAGTTGCTAATTATTGTCCAAATTAATTTTAACAGAATAAAGAAACTGATTTAAAAGAAACATTTGTCACTTAGCTTTGTTTAATAACAATGTTCTAATCACCTTAAACTTGTCGTAAACAAACAAAACTTATCTAATACGTATTCTAGAAATGTCTTAAATTCAACAATATATGATATGTAAATACGTTTAGTAAACGATCAGAATCTGCAGACAGGGGAAGAAACTCCGTATGACTGCCAAAGAAATCAATCAATATCACGTTAAATCTACAGACAACCGTACCGACATTAAGGAGGCCTATTCTACATAAATTCTCAAATTGATCCCTACCAAATTTGAAGTATGACACAGTATTCTCAGTACAGACAACGACAAAATATCTGGGAATTCATTTTCCCTCTAGAAAAATCGGAAAATACTCTCTAAAAAAGGAGATTCTTTTATTCGTCCCTAAATATTTTCGTATTTCACGAACATTCGCACCAGAGAAATAGGTTACAAACTACTAAAACCTTAGTTTATGTTACAAACATCAAACAGCTACTAACGGCGGTTACACGCATCGTAAAATAACATTATTATAATCATATATCAATTATAAATGAATTAAAGGAAAGTCAAAGAGAAAACCTTAAATAAAAATGATAACAGTAAAAAGGGTAAAATTTCACTTTTTGATTTTCATAAAATTGATTGACAATTAACAGCCTCGTGCTTAACATTTTGCTAGTACAAGCATGAACATTTATGAAATTTATAAAAGGACATCTGTTAATTAATATTTAGTGCGTCAAAGAACACTGCTGTATTGTTGAATTATGTTTGCGATATTTATGTCTGTGTGTATACTTCTGATCAATACAAACCATGAATTACAGTGAATATGTATATTGAATATACCAAAATAAACATGTTTCAATAAAGGAAAACGCTGACTTATCACAATGGTTCTTCTTATAGGGGAACATATTCCCTGACTTTTTATTACATTTATTCTATATTGAATTACGTTATGAAATGGCTTTTTTGTCAGCCAATAGAACTTCGAAACATTTCAACTGAAATTTGATTATAGAATGTGAGCGAGGAAAGTCACAATATTTATTAGATTGCAAGTTGTTTTTCTTCCCTTAAGTTTTGTTTCAGACGTTTCACTACCGGCTATGTAAAACTTAGTTCCGAATCAAGTTCCGTGTTATCAGCAACACTATTGTAAACGTATTTCGAATCAAGTTCCGTGTTATCAGCAACACTTTCTGCATACAGTTCACATGTACACATAATAACACATATAATACTTTGATAGAACTTTGATTACCGTTAGCAAGTGTACTTTGATATTATTTTTATAGGATCCTTCAAGCATTTATTTGAGCAGACAAGAACAAACCTCACGAGTGACATGGAAGCTGAAAGAGAAGAACTTACTCAACTTCAAGGTATTTTTTCTCATTCTACATCAACGGGATGATAATTTTCTAAACTGTGTTTCATAAAATCTTATTTAATTATATCATATTCAATTGATTGTTTTAAAGTGTATTCATGTACTATAATACGTCAATGGTCAGTTTGAAATATTAAGAATTTAACTAACCTTTTGCGTTAACTATAATCTAGTACTGCCATCATTTTTAAACTTATTTAATTACATGTATATATACTAATTTTGAATACAATTCATCATCTTTATTTTGTAAACATGTTTCTATTAAAGCTTTAAAATATCATATTTTACATATATGAATATATCCATAAATTATTTCCAAACGCTTATATTACAAATGGAATGCCAAATTAAATTCAGGAAGTCTGGCTATACTTTAAATTTAACCATCGATTATTAATACGCATTAAAATTCTTATGTTTATATTAAATAACCCAATATACAAACAAGAAATAAATCATAAAAAAACATTTTAAGATACACATACTTTCCATGCACATTACGTGGCAGACTTGATTCTTGATAAAACAGACGAGATAGTTATATTTACGAAAAGTGTGATTAGCGAGGGAACAGGTTAAGACACTTCTACTGGGATATTTACAGTACCTGTCGGAGGACTGTACCAGTTTTCTGCACAAGGAAATCTGTCATTTTTTTATTAAATCTATATATTTTTATATAGTATAAACAAGGGATACAAGTTGTGGCCTCGCACTACCAGCATGGGTTCGTAAAATGCATTCACATGTGTAAACTGTATAAAATATCCTCTATTCCATCAGAGTTATTGTAGAAGTTAATATATGAACGAGTCATTACCCAAGTTTTACTACAAACACTTCATTAAAACCTGTAACATTGCAGGAAATAGCTAACATTTCAATATTTACATTGGCTGTCAAGTTGTCGTCAATTTGGCAGGTGTGTTTATGTTCAGAGTATTTTCATTGGCTGATGAAAAAACCGCTATTCGTCGCGGCTATATGCCGTTATTATCCGGATTATTATTATTCATTAGCCAATGAAATTGACAGTTACTAACAGAAGTTGGATTTACGCATTGGCACATACGGACAACATCAAAATGGAAGCCGAGGATAGAAATTATCAAAACAAACATAAATTGTTACAATAATTTGTACCAGAAGTTAATGATTGCATCATTGATGGTGGTGGATAATTGATATTTAACCGATTACATGACTAAACTTTCTAATATGAGCATACGTTTGCATAAGATGTCGTTTTACACGTGTAATTTTACAAACTGAAATTTTACGAACTTGTGTAAAAATGAAACATGAAAGGTTATTTTAAATAATATCTTGTCCATGTAACAAAGTGAGTCATTTGTTTTGAAATTATCGATTCTTTCACCAATGTCCAATAATCAGAAGAAAAAAAACTGTTGTATACTGCGTTGTATTTACTTTTTCATGAATTGAGCAATTTTGAGTTGTATCCCTTGTTATATTAATTATATATTGTGGGAAAGGAAAAAAATGACAGAATCCCCTGTGGTTTTCTGTGCATACATGTGTTTCTTTAGGAAAGTATGCTTACATTGGCCTAGTGTTAGAAGGTAAAGTTATTGCAGCTGATATGAACTATGATACTGATCAATACACATGTAGTGCTTTTGGAGCAATAGTGAGAGTAAAATCAGGAGAAAAAGTTTGGGTCAAATCAACAATGTCAAGTTCTAACCGCCGGCTAGAACAAGGCTCATATAGGATGAACACATTTAGTGGAATACTTGTCAATAACTGAAGAAGAATAAATTATTCAACTTTTGTATATGACATTATATATCTAATTTGTTTTACAAATATTCATACAATGATGATCGTATATGACGAATATTTTGATTACCATTCTTCAAAAAGTATTTTGCTATGTTTATCAGTGAACATAAACAATTATATTGTCGAGTTTTTTAAATAAATATGGCATGTATACATTTGTACTTTTTGTACACAATATTATCTGATGAATATCATGCGCTATTACCTAATGGATACCCGAGTCTATCAATATGTTTAACTTAATGCTTACTTTGAAACACTGTTCACCAACTGATAAATTTACTGTTTGTTATCGTATACAATAACTGGATATTTAATATCCCATGTTGTAATTAACTTTGGGAGGAAACAATGAGATGAATTTGTGGCTGAATGTTGCTGCATTGACAGATAAAATGAAGAAATGAAGAACATACTTTTTTTCGAAGAATATTGTTATAACCAATCTTAAAAAGAATATCATCTGATGAATGTTATGCATTATTATATGATGGATACTCATAAATATCAATATTATTAACTTAATCCTTACTTTAAAACACTGTGCCTCAGCTGATAATTTACTGCAAAAGTTTGCTATGGTATATTTTAACTGAATATATAATATCCTATGTTGTAATGAACTTTGGGAGGTAAAAAGGTGGCGTATGTGTGTCTGTTTGTTATTGCAATGACAGATAAGTCTTAATAAAAACTTAAAGATAATCATAAAATTTTCACAGCAAAGATAAAATTTACGTAACAAATTTATCATGGAGTACATGTACAATTTCTTTGAAAGTATCGTTTGGCAATTTATATTCTTTTGATTATGTACAAAATAATTGGGTTGCCTTGGTGACGATATAACAGTAACCGGATTATTTTGACAAACGGTTAAAGCTATCGTAATACCCTCTATCCAGCGCCTGTCCCAAAACCATGTCGGATTAAAGACGATATTGATCTTGATTTCGAGGCGGTTTTCGACATGCCGTGATCCAGAGTTTAGGCACTAGCTAACAAAGTAGAAGATCCGTAGTTCGAGGCTTTTGTTTGTGCCTTGTGGAGGCTGTAAAACGTCGCCCCGTACATTCAATCAGGAATGTTATATTTCCGATTCTAACGATCGTTCTGCAAGCATTATTGTTTTGTTTGTGGTTCTTTTAGTCTTTACTTTTTGATTATTATTATGATTAAAATTTACATTCATGTTCATACAATACAATACAATACAATACAATACAATACAATACAATAAATATCTTTATTGCTTCATAGGCCACCAGCCCAAAACAAAACATAGTTTACAAGTTTTTGTTTACATATGTACAAAACAGTGTTAAAGTATTATGGTAATAGTCAAATACAGTAATACATGTATATCATCAAAATTCACTGCTATTTTAATTGAAAAAAAATCTTTCTATAAAGTTTGTCTGAAATAGAAATTGTAATTGAGAATTAATTTTATACATTTTCAACAGTTTAACCTTATCCGAAACAAAATGTAAGGCAAAACATGCTAAAACGTAATTTATCGCAAACTCAAATGTATACATTGAAAAATTTTGAATCAACAATAATAGACTTAATGTAGAATTTAATCATATTGCATTAATTATTTGCACACGTTTGCTAACAATGTATAAATAAAGCATAAATGTTCCTTCAAATGAAGAAACCGACACTTTAATTTGTATCTATTTTAGTATGTGTTATGTGAGTTTAACTTCATTACATTTAAAAGTAAAATGTCATATAAATATTGGTAGAAATTAATTTAACCAATATGTTCAGATCTATATTGTAGACCATAAAATATGAATTTAGCTAAATTTAACAACAGCGATTCTGAGTCAGTATTCATGAGTATGTTAAACTTGTTAATTGATGGTGAAACCCAATATTTTCTAGGAATATATAGCTTCCTTAGAGAGCTATATGAATTGCAAACAAGAACAAAGTGATATTCTGTTTCAATACATTGGTCTTCTTGACAAAGTTCGCACACTCTTTCTCCTCTATTAATGTTTCTATATCTTCCCTTTTCTATATTTAAGGCATGATTTGAAATTCTTACTTTGGCTAAGGAACTTCTAAATTTTCTTATTTTAACAATTTCCAAATATTTTTCGTGTCCAAAGTTTGTTTTAAAGTTAGCATAACACTGTAGTTTTGAACTAATGTGTATATTTGACGACCATTCTTGGAGAAATTGGTCTTTTAATCTTTGTGTGAACGTATGTATAAAAAGATTTCATTTGAAACACACTGATTTTGCCATATGTATCCAAAGCCGTTTCTTAAAAGTAAGTTTTTAATTTCGGTGGCCCAGTTGTTTTGACCTTTTTCATCCAAATTCATAAGCATAAGATAACACTTTTTAACTAGCCGATTTTCTTTCATTTTAACAATCTTTAACCAGTACTTTATACATTTTTTAGCTGCTGCTATGTACAGAGGGTGCCTTCCACAATCACCTATGACAGCCATATTGCTTGCTCTCTGTTTCACACACATATATCTTTTGCAGGCATAATTGTGCACAGTTTCAATTGATTCTTGGCGACGTGTTCCCCATATTTCTGCACCGTACAAAAGTACAGGGGTTACTTTGGTATCAAAAATATTGAAATAAACATGTCGTGTTAATTGACAATACTTATATAGTTTGTTTAGTATTGAAATTAAGATTCTTTTGGCTTTTAAAGATTGTTCTTTTGCCATATTACACATTGAGTTTCGTTGCGTAAAATTTAAACCGACGTATGAAAAGCAATTTACAACTTCGATTGGCTTACTATTGTACGTCCACTTTTCATGTTTAGTTAATTTTCCACCATTTTTTAATACTAGTATTTTAGTTTTTTTGGTATTACATTTTAAATCCTTTTCAGCACAAAATACTTCTAATAAGTTTAAACGTTTTTGAAGACCTAATACAGTGTCTGCTGTCAATGCCAGGTCATCTGCAAATTGTAATGATAATATTTGTGTCTGATCTGGGAAAAGTTGTATACCGGTATACCCTGAAGTGTTAATTCTGTCAATAAGCTCGTTGATGTAGAGGATGAATAGAGTTGTGCTGGCCAAGCACCCTTGCTTTAATCCATTCGGGCAATTGAAGTCTGTTGTTTGACCAGTATTTGTTATGACAGATGCTTTGACATTTTTGTAGATACTTTGTAGTGCATAAAAAAGTTTGCCACGTATACCATTCTTTCTAAGGACCGACCATAACTTTTGTCTATTAATAGTGTCAAACGCCTTTTCAAAATCAACGAAAGCCACATAAAGTTTTCCTCCCTTTTTTGATAATTGTTTTTGTATAAGAGCATTTAATATGAAAGCGTTGTCAATGGTGCTATATCCTTCTCGAAATCCAGCTTGTTCTTCTGCAATTTTATCGTATACATTTATATAAAAACTTAGTCTTCTAGAAAGTATACCTGTATATATCTTTCCAAGTATATCTAACAATAAGATTCCACGAAAATTATTAGGATCGTTTATACCTCCCTTTTTGTGAATCACTACAATGCTTGCTTTATTCCAATTTGCTGGAAATTCACCGTTTTCGAACAGTCTATTATATAAACATGTTAACAATGGTAGAATTTTATCAATACTATTAATGAAAAATTCTGGTATGAGTTTGTCTTCACCACCGCTTTTCCCAGCTTTTAGCTTTTTAACAGATAGTAATACCTCTTCATCTGATATCTCGGAATTGAAAATGAATTGATCTAAGTCATCAAAGTCTTCATAAAGCTGGTTGTCTTGTAGAATAACATTTTCATCTGTGATTGTGCTTTCAAATAATCGTTCAAAGTGTGTTAACCACTCTTCATCACTTATATTGTTAACCACTTTTCTTTTACTTTGTGTCATATTTTTTAGCTTATTCCAAAAGCCTTTAGGGTCGTTTGTCTGTTCAATGAGGTTGTCTAGCTCTTTATTATAGAATTCTGATTTAACCTTTTCACAATGTTTTTTAAATATTGTTTTAGCCTCATTATATGCTTCAAGGTCATTTTCACCTCTACTTTGTCTATATACTCGTAGTAGTCGGTACTTAGTTGTTTTCAGCTCTTTACACGAGTTATCAAACCACTTTGGTTGAGATCTTTGATATGGTGTTTTGTATCTTTTCAAACAGCATTCACCACATTCGTAAAATAAGTTGTTTAACTTGTCAGACTACAGTGTAATTATTTGTATATCATATTACGTGAATGTTTCCTCGTCATAATACATGATATCGGTCTAAAATCGACAAATATTGTTTTACCTATAACATATTTAACTTCTAAAGATACAAAATACAAATGTAGAATCACTTTACGACGACCATTTAAAATTCAAACTTCTTTAAGCACACTTAACAGGCTGAAAGAAGTTTCAAACAAAAGTTTTAAATCTTCAGAATGTAATTAAAATAGGCGAAAGCAAAAAAATATGGATATAGCAATATTTATAACCGCCATATGAACACATCTGCGGATGTTTCAAAATTGTACCAGTTTATGTTGAATTATGCTTCAGGCGGTGCTAGGGGCGTGGACGGTAGTTTGCACTTGACAGTACCGTCCATGAACAGACTCAATCAAACCGAGCCTGTAACATTTTCAATTTTACTTTGTTGGGCTTTTTTTTCTTTTTTAAGTTTTATCTATCTTTCTCTATCTCTTTCTATTGTATTGGATATTCGTTATTAGATACTTCTATCTATTGATAGCAACGTCTTTAATCGAAGTTTAAAGAGAAAATTAATCGTTTCTAATAAGGACGTTGTTATATCAACAGTTTGTGTTAAGTAAAAGTGTTTTAATTTTACGGATATAATTTTTAAAATATCTTTGCATGGTAGCTTTTGACAAGCCAGTATATATGACATACTAGAATGACCCATAACTTGATGAGTAACTAACTGTCTTACATAAAACCAGTCATCTCAGTGTAATTATTGTTTTTCTGGTCCTTCAAGATATTTGATTATATTACTTAATTATATAGAAAAACGAATACTGCTTTAGCAGGTGCCAGCGGATGTGATAAGTGGTTGCAACTATCAGTGTCTCTCGTGAACAGTCTCAATCAAAGCGAGTCTATCATTTTTCATCTTTTTTCTCTAGAGACATTTCACCATTACAAGACTTTTGTGACAATACCAAAGAGTTATTATTTCAAATTCACGTATGATGAATGAATCGGTATTAAAGGTCAACGATTCACTTTCTTTATTACAATAGATTAATCTTAAAGATCTTTGCATGAACTGTATGTATTTCATTTCATAGAAACATGCTGATTTGTTTCTAATAGTGCTGTCACTTAATTCTCATTTGGGAAGTGCGCTTTATGTAAGAAAAAATCAAACTGTTTCCCTCAAACTGTTTCTAAGAGATATCCTTCGGTACCGTATTTCAGTGCATTTCTGCTAAACCATTATACTAAAATACATTACGGGCCTCATACTCAAATAACAAAGCAGATTCCCTTGTATTAAAACAATTGTTTCTCTCATCGAGTATGATTCGGAGATTTTCTCAAACTCTATTTTTCAACAGTCCTCATCAAAATGGGGTTCTCACTGTTTTTTTCATTTGTTATTGTCGTTGGAACGTATAGTTATAATTTTCTGAGGCAAGAGAGTCTGTTTGTTCTAAATTTGCAAACGAAAAACAGCTTTTACCATAATTTCAGTTCTTATCATTTTCTCTAAAAGCTGTTCTTCGTATGCAAATTAGATAACTAACTAACTAAATAAATAAATATAAATAAATAAATAACCTCTGTCCTGTATTGCCATATATCAAAAAACACTGCTGTATTTTTAAATTTATATTTAGATTTGCGATATTTATTGTTTCGGGTATATGATCTATAGAAACAATGAATTACAGTGAATAAAAATGTTAAATGAGTTACAATGAACATTTATGTTGAATATACCAAAACGAAGGAAAACGTTGACTCATCACATTTAATTTTTGATTAGTGAAATGATTATCTGATTTTACTACATTCATTTTGTATTGAATTACGTCAGAAAATGACTACCACGTCAGCCAATAACAATTCGAAAAAACATTCAATTGAAACTTGATTATAGAAGGTGCGCGAGGAAAATTAGAATGTATATAAGAATGCAAGTTGTTTTTCTTCACTAAAGTTTTATTTTAGAAGTAACTCTAATGGCTATGTAAAGTTAGGTTTCAATCAAGTTCGTGATATCAGCAAAACTTTCTGCAAACAGTTCATATGTACACATAATAACATATACATTTTGTATAAAACTAATTGAACTTTGCTTACGGTTAGTTATTAAACTTTGATATCTTTTAACAGAATCGTTCAAGAAATTAATCGAGGAGACAAGAACAAACCTCACGAGTGACATGAAAGCTAAAAGAGAAGAGGAACTTTTACAACTTCAAGGTATTTTTTCTTACGTAATGATAAATTTTGAAGTGAATTCACGTACTATAATACATCAATCATCAGTTTGAAAAATTAAGAACTTGTTCAACTAACACGTTGCTGTAACTATACACTGATCCTTCCATTATCTTTAAACTTAATTAATTACGTGTATATATACATGTACTTATATTGAATACATGTCATCATCTTTATTTATCAGACATGTTTCTATTATAGCTCTATGTCATGTTTTACACAGATATCCATAAGATATTTCCCAAACGCTTATATTACCAATTGCATTTTAATTTAAAATCAGGACGATCGACGATTGATACGCATAAAAATTCTTAATAACCAGATATACAAACAAATATTAAATCATAAGAACCATGTACTTACTTTTTTCTGTACTTAGGAAAACTTGAACGACCTCCGATCGCTTTCCATGCACATCACGTGGAAGATTTGGTTCTTGATACTGCAGATGAAATAATTATATTTACAAAGAATGTGATTAACGAGGGAGCAGGCTATGACAGTTCTACTGGAATATTTACAGCACCTGTTGGAGGACTGTACCAGTTTTCTGTGCATACATGTGTTTCTTTAGAAAAGTATGCTTACATTGGCCTAATGTTAGAAGGTAAAGTTATTGCAGCTGATATGAACCATGATAAGGATCATTATACATGTAGTGCTTTTGGAGCAATAGTGAGAGTAAAATCAGGTGAAAAAGTTTGGGTCAAATCAACATGGTCAAGTTCTAACCGCCGGCTAGAACAAGGCTCATATAGGATGAACACATTTAGTGGAATACTTGTCAATAACTGAAGAAGAATAAATTATTCAACTTTTGTATATGACATTATATATCTAATTTGTTTTACAAATATTCATACAATGATGATCGTATATGACGAATATTTTGATTACCATTCTTCAAAAAGTATTTTGCTATGTTTATCAGTGAACATAAACAATTATATTGTCGAGTTTTTTAAATAAATATGGCATGTATACATTTGTACTTTTTGTACACAATATTATCTGATGAATATCATGCGCTATTACCTAATGGATACCCGTGTCTATCAATATGTTTAACTTAATGCTTACTTTGAAACACTGTTCACCAACTGATAAATTTACTGTTTGTTATCGTATATAATAACTGGATATTTAATATCCCATGTTGTAAATAACTTTGGGAGGAAACAATGAGATGAATTTGTGGCTGAATGTTGCTGCATTGACAGATAAAATGAAGTAATGAAGAACATGTACTTTTTTTCGAAAGTATCGTTAGGAAATTCATATTTTATTGTTCATGTTATAAAAGATATTAATCACATACCCTGGGCGCTTTTGCGACTCATTGAAAATGTTTTTCACGGCTGTTCATATATTTTGACGTGAGGTCGTTTACGTTATACAGAACATGATAGAACAGAACAGAAATTTTATTACTTGGTTAAGGAATAACAAACTTATCACCATATTACATATACAAATACATCATATAATACATAAACAAGTTAAATGTTGATGCTGCATATCACAGACGTCGCCACATGATGTGAACAGTCACAGCTAATTTACAAAATCAGAAATGAAAATCGTTCTCTATTACAGCTGAATATCCGAAGCACTAATTATTTTTTTCTCCATGTTCTTGGTATGTGTCTGAAATTCTGAAATGTTTGTCTGTTGCGACAAAGATTGAAACGTCTGGTCGAAGCAAAATAAATTGGATAACAAGTTAAATTGAAATGATTGGTAAACTTAAAAATAAATTCAAGAAAAAATGTGCCGAGAAATATGTCATTAAAATTTTGTGCGCATTGCCATAATGTTCGAATGATTTTGAGGACAAATTGTCTGTTATTTTACAAATAACGAAAATATGTCTGTAATATCAAAAATAGTTATGAATAAATCGATATATATATATATATATATTATATTATATATTATTATATATATATATATATATATATATATATATATATATAATATATATATATATATATATTTAATATATATATATAATATTATATATATATATTATATATATATATATATATATATATATATATCTTTGTTATGTATTGTTTACTTATTTATAAAAGATTTAACTACTTGAATAAACAAAATATTGCATTTTCGCCTAGAATCTAGGTACGCGACCTTAAAATGTAATAAAAAATCTAGGCAAAAGAGAACAATCGTCGGTCACAGAATCATTCAAAATAACATATTGCAAATATTTGTGATACGTTTTAAAATAAACGTCATTTTTTCACTCAGTAAATCTGTTTTATAACTTAAATGTTAATTATATTAATGAATTACATGTTGCACACGTTTTGCCTGTTTTGCAAAAAATATTTCCGCTGCGTCCGTAGCGCAAAAATAATCTCCGTTGCGTATTTTAGTGATACCTCATGTCTCTGCCCGTCATTAGATTCTAGACGGGTCTGTGTTGAGCTAAGGGTTAAGGGAGAATCGCAACTCTGATAGTGGGCGTGGTTTAGGCTTTGTAACTTGTAATTTAATAATTCGTCAAGCTATATTGATTACAATTATCCTGGTTCTCTTCCCCCACCCCCGTCAACGAAGACTAAATGCTAGCATATTGAATTTGGCAACAATTTAAGGCGGAGACGAACTTCAACAGAGGCGGAACAAATGAAGTCAGTGACACTGCTTCAGTCGTTACCTCTCTCAATTGTTAAGTTTTAGAACGATCGACTATAGACTGTCTCATTGGCACGTTATTTGTAAGGTCGATAAAATTAGATAATTATAAAAAGAATATGATATTCAAACATGACACTTTCACTTCCGTTAAACGTTTATTTTAATCCCTTAAAAGCTCTGTGACATGTTGTACATCAGAAAAGCTATTTTTATTAGAACATTTGAAAACAATGCGATTTTGTTAAAAAAATGCACAAAATCAAGTCTTAAAATTTCCCCATTATCTATACGGACAAATGCATATCTACGTACACGCGCCGTCTAATGACACATGAAATTGTAATATCGGTTACTTGTCCCTTGGGGCTGAGAACCCAGAAACATCACAGTGTATGTTTTATAGGTTTATCACGTGGTATTTAAGAGGCTGATACAGTGGCTATGTAACATGATACATATATCTACATCATCATATATTGATTGGATACTACAGACATGAAAATATCATGATATATAATTAAATATTTCGGTTTATGAAATATGAGAATGTTTAATGAGACAGAAATTACGTAAAAAGCATTCAAATACATCTCGTCCAATGCCAAAGAATTTTACAATTCATTTTTCAAATTTAAGAAATTCTGTAATGCCTATCAATAAAAAGAAATCGGAAGTTTTAATGAAAATAGTGATTGTTACAAATGAACGGGAATAACTTAAGTAACTTTACATAACAAATATTTTAGCATTTACTTTCCTTCAATAATGTATGACCAATAACAATAATTGACTTCATTTCTGCATAATAAATGAAATACGTTAAAATTAGTTTACTGATTTTTTACTTTACTTTATACACACATAGTAAAGAGCGCTAATTGTTAGCTTTATACCTCAAGAGTATAAATGAAAGAAATATTCTTTTTTCTGTGTGTTTTAAATCTAATATTATAATCGTGTAGCTTCATTACTAAATCTTTTGAACTCTTTGAAATAATGATTTTATACTCGATAGAGGCTCGCTCTAACTCGTTAAAAAACTCAGTATTGAACCTACACTCATTCAATATCCTCTGTATAATTATGTAATAATAATAATAAATTTATTATAAAATAATTTTTGTATTTGCTACATATTTGTATATTTATAAGTAACCTAACGCCCGGTCCAATGGGCCTATAAGTCACCAGAAATCATATAATAATGTCGTCATTATGTTTTTACATATATTTTATAGATTCTTTTCAAATACCGTTTAAGTCAATTTTTATATAACTAACTTAAGAAGAGCGATTAGTAAATAGATTTATGATTCTTGATTCTTGATTATTGTTTAAGGGGTATGTTTCGCATTTTTGGTATATTATCGCATTTAAATAAAGCTGTCTCCGAATCATTAATATCAAAATCTTTAAGAAGCGAAATCGAAAAAAGGGAAAGAAAGAAAAGGGTATCCATTTTAAAGAATCTAGTTGTTCATGTAAAATGATTCCGCTAATTATTACAAACATTTCATGTGTAATACTACACTTTGCTAATAACAAAATTTAAATGGAATAAATTGAATGAAGGATAGGTGTTATTTCTGTCTAATATTACAAAGGAATACACGTATTTTGATATGCTTGAGTAAATTACGATAACAGTATCTTCAGTAGTTAATAGAACTCTCACAGTAATTGTAAATAGTGCATGTGGCAATTTACAGTCAAGACAGGAATAAATCTAGATTACATTACCGTCTTATTATATCGTATAAATTTAGTTCGTCTTTCATAAGTGAATATTATTTGCTTCAAATGCAGTACATAACAAAATCTCTGTAGAGATAAGCACTTACAACAAATTGAGCACATATTCTAGGAAATTCACATATTAAATGTTTTAATTTGCAATCGTCTGCAAGGTTAACAAAGTCTTGTGAGAGAACTATGCTCCAAAATATATTTGTTCTACATGGTGCAATGTAAGGGGAAATGTTTTTCGTCTTTTTCGTTGTTTGAGGGGCAAAATCTATAAAGCCTCTGTTCAACCGTTTATCCTATATAGTGAACAGTTTCTATTCTAAGTGGCAATATACCGCTTCCAAACTGGCTATATAATAAACGTTCGTATTCTGTAAGATTCAGATTTATGTAGTTTTCATATTCATTGAATTCTGCAACAGTTTTGATTTCACTTGACGATTTCTCTGAGTATAAGTAAATAATTGGATCACGTGCCGTCCACAGCGTAATTGTTGATCTAGGATAAAAAAAACTTCTCTTATTTTAATGTTATCGACAATTCGTTTAACGTCACTGGAACAATAGATGTTCTCCGGAACTCGGTACATGTGACTTTTTCCCCCAGGTAATCCGTAGGTATCAAACTTTTACCGTTATAGCTTCACGGTACACTACCCGTCACAATACATTATTCAACCTGTTGGGCTTATTTTCGAAATTGTAACTGTAAAAGTACCGTACTAATGCCAACTTTTGCAATAGTTATCACATTCTGTGCAGTCTGTTTTAAGTGTATATAATTAAGTGCGTTTTTACAAAAACAGTCTAAATTTCTTATTGAGGTGTGTAAAACACTGTAAATCATAATCAGTAAATCTATTTTGATTGTAGTTCATTCTTAAATAATCAATGTTTGATAATTAATATAAATAAAAACATCTTTTGTCGAATATTGTTGTTGTGAAAACTATCTAGAATGAAAGAAAATGGTCTAACTAAGAAAGTGAATCCAAAGCCAAAATAATTCATTCAGTCGTTAACGCTCTACAGACGTTAAAAGTGTTGTCTACGTGACGTCACAATGTTGCACCAAACAGCACATGAAAAAACAATAAAATCAAGAACGCCATTTCAATGTAGCAAACGAGTTAACTTTCATATTTATTTCACTATTGATACTTTATATTTCGCTTGGAAAATATAGAATGAAATGAAATAAACAAACAAAGTTTTATCAACGTAAAACAACCGTTTAAAGAACTGATTACGCAGTTACCCAGATACGTACCGATTGAAGTTTAATATCAAGATGCATAATTGATACACGTTAACTTCTGTGAATTGATTAAATTATCATAGTTCCTAGATAAAATTAACGGTTGATATCTTTAAACTTGAGATCT